TCGACTAGCCTTGTTGAGATTTCCCACACAAAAGGTTCTTTTTTGGAGAAAAATATCAAGCATATATGAGTCCTGAGTGTTTTGAGATAGTCTCCAGTAAATCTATAACTGCAAACCATATCATGCTAGAATTTACATGCGATAACTCCGTCGGGCAAGATCTTATTTCGTAGTCGTACTTGTCAGGGGTTAGGGTTAGGGGTTAGTGTTAGTGTAAGGGATTAGGGTTAAGTGGTTGTGGATTAGGGTTAAACCCCCCATTACCACTGGTCCCGTATGATGGGCGGCTGGGGCTTGTCTATTGCAGGTACGGCTATAAAATAAGATCCGATCCTTCGTCGTGTATTTAGTAAATTTTCCTTAAGACGTGGCGGACCTTTTTATTGCTATTAGTTCCGGTTGGTTTGGAGGGTTCGGATTCTCTTGCGGGCCCCAACACTCAACTCCACTGCCTCTCCACACTTTACGTTACTTGTGTGTGGAGCTCATGACTACTTACATTTTCCACTTTCTTCACCGCATTCCACCGGTCAGGGTCGGAAACCGCTAGCGTAATGAATGAGCCCGCAAATGAATAAGAAATCGTACATTGCTTATTTATGTGAGTCCGACCGAGACTACCTCCAGGCACAATAGAGCGAAGGTTTTTTGCATGACACTTCACGCCACTCATCTGTCCCGGTGATGAACTGATTGTTTCACTGTTCCTCGCCTTGGAGCTTCTGGCCAATCGGTGTGCCGAGGCGTCCGTCCTTTTGTCCTGGGCAGATGCGATTTAGCGATACCCAGGGCAGAACTCGAAAAAAGGAATGGTCCCCGGTTGCGTTTAGAACCCTGCTCTCCTGCGCATGTGCCGATTCGGTTTTAAGTGCACCCCTGTGCAAAGTTGATCAATAAATTCAGACAGCCTATCCAATAACTTGCTGCCCTCAGTCGGTCTTTTGAGCACTAGGGGGAGGAAGATTGAATAAGGATTCTTCATTTGGATGACCCCATCCTTTTAAGGGTTGCTGAAAACTTGAAGTGTACAGAGGGCGGTCGTTGTTACTTGCCTCGAACTGTGCGCCCCTGACCCTGCCATGCACAAAGTCTGACGCTTTTCAGTTGTTCTTGTGCCTTTAACTTTTATTGACTGCTGTCTAGTATTTTTTGCTACGTGTGCTACCAACCGCACATGCTGTGTGATGATGAGATCACGTACTAGCACCTCCTACTTTCGCAGGGATGGTGTCACATATGCATGCATACATTCAGAAGAGTGGGCTTGTTGAGGTACTTTGCAGGCATCCTGCTCCGTCTACTTGAACGGCATAAATGTACTTGACTTCTGTCTTTCCCTCGCCTTGATGTGGACACACAGCCTCTTCCTTACCCCTATACGCCGGATTATTTGGTCGACTAGACTAAAATAAAATCAGTAGATCTGGTGCCTTGGAGGGGGGGGGGGAGGGGATGGGAAGGGGGAACGAGATATA